AGAAGTAGTAAATAAAGCTTATCTTTTATCCTTATTTTATAAGTTTATATAGTCTATGCCTAGGAAAGTAAGGAAAAAAGAAACTAGCTACTAAAATCTTTTTTTATTTAAGCGATTTATCCTTTATAGATAATTCCTTAGATAGAAAAAGCTTATAAGGGTATATTATATCCCTTTTTAAAGGAACTATTACTTTAAGAGCTTCGAAATAAGCTACTATTATAACTTTAAGTATAAAAGTAAAGCTCCTAGCTCTTTTAAAAGTATTAAAAGAACCGATGTTCCTTAGCTAGCTATTAATATCTTTATAACTATAAATTCCGACCTTATTAGCTATAGAATATAATAATATATAAACTATATAAATTCTAATAGAAAATATAAAGCTATTAACCTAGCTATAGTATATTAATATTTATTAGTATTAGCTATACTAAGATATCTAAAAGGACTTATTTCTATTTATTAAGTTTTAATAGTATTAATAAAAGTAAATAGTCTTATAAAGCCTTTACTAAAGTAAAAGCTAGCTATCTTTTTATAGTAAATTAAGCTAAAAGATATTTAAGAGAAGCTATCCTTAAAAGCTTACCTTAAAAGTCTATAAGAGGAGCTAATAGTATATATAAGGAAGAAGACGTTTATAGCTAAAGAGAGGAACTAGGACTTATCTTAAAGGAGGGTTTTAGCTTAATTAAAATTATTCTTTTTAAAGGCCCCCTTTTAAGGACTTATCCTTAAAAAAGACCCCCTTTCTTATAGGACTTAATTCCTCTATAAGCCCCCTTTTCCTAAAGTAGGTCTAAAAGAGCTTAAGGTAAAAACCCGGATTTCTTAAGTAAGGGATAAGTATAGACTAAGACCTTCTTTATACGCTTACTAGCTTAATTATTTAGCTTTACCCTTTCTATAAGGGTAAGCTATAGCTAAGGAGATATACTACGAAGTATAGCTTAATTTTATAGTTCTTAGAGATATTCCTTAATAAAAGGGACCTAGGAAGCTTTAAATACTTAGTATAAAAGAAGAAGTAACTAAAAGGAGGTATAAAGAAGAGGGTAAGGGTATAAAGAGAAGTAAAAGTAGTAAGGGCTCTTTATAAAAGTAGTAAGAGATATAATAGATATACTAGTAATAGCTAGAATAAAGGGGAAAACTTAGTAAAAAGCTTAGTAGTTAAAAGGGTATTAATAGCTTCTTTAAGTAAGATCTTCTTTATTAATTAAAATACTAAATAAGTATAAAAAGGGGCGTTAGATAAAAGAAAGAAGGATAATTAAGGAAATATAATAGTTACTCCCTTACTATAATTACTACCTTTATAAGAATTAAATATCTTTACTTTACTTATTTAACTTTTTACTTTTACTTTTACCTTTATATACTTTTATATACTTTTATATACTTCTTATATCTTTCTTTATAAGAACTTAAACGTATTATATAAACTAGCTACTATATATTATTATATATATTAAATATAGACTAGCTACTAGTCTTATAAGTTAAAGTAAGAGTAGTAATAACTATTTATATTCTTTTTTACTTACTTAAGATTTAGTAGGTTCTCTATCCTTTATATATATTATAAGAAATATAAGACCTTACTTAAGACTTTAACTAAGTAATATCTTAACTATATAATTCTATAATATTAATATAGTATATCTAGCGATATTTCCTAGTACTTTCCCTAAGTATATATAAGTATTTCCTTATAATTTCCCTACTATAATCTTATAGTAACTTCTTAAGGAAATACTAGTATAATTCCTAAGAAGCTATTACTACTTAGGAAATCTTAGTATATTCCCTATATATTATCTTTATATAGGAAGTCTCTATAAAATATCTATATAATCTACTAGGTTATTATTTCTAGGATTTCTAAGTAATTTCCTATAGTTTACTTAGTAACTTCTAAGTTCTTTCTTTTATAAAGAGTTTTAATAAGTTAGTAGTAACTTTCTTAAAGGGAGTAAATATTATTATAGGTACTTAAATTATTAATTATAAGGTATCTTATAATAAATATTTAGGGCGAAAGAATTAACTAATACCTTTATTAGTTTCCCGCGGCGCTTAAGTAGGTCTTACGCTTAATATAGAAGCGTAGTAAAGTTATATAAACTTTTAAGTTTAGTATAAAGGAAAATCGTATCTTATTTAAAACGTAACCTAGTATAAATAATACTAAGGGTATAAGGCGGCTAAACTAAGAGTAAAACTATTAAAACTAGGAGCGTAAAGCAGCTAAATTAAGGTAAAACTAAATAAAACTAAGGGCGTATTATAGCTAAGCTAGTAAAAAATAAATAAGACTAAGGGCGTAATAAGGTTACGCTAGTAATAGACCGTTTTATTCTTATAAAAAGAGATATAAAAAGTATATATAAAATATATAAAGGTAAAATTAAAAGTAAGGGTTTAGATAGGTAAGGCAATAATATTTAGTTCTTATAAGGGTAGTAGTTATAGTAAGGGAGTAATTATTATATTACTTTTATTATCTTTCTTTACTTTATTTAACGCCCCTCTTTATACCTATTTAGTATCTTAATTAATAAAGAAGATCTTACTTAAAGAAGCTATTAATATCCTCTTAATTACTAAGCTTTTTACTAGGTTTTCCCCTTTATTTTAGCTATTACTAGTATATCTATCTTATCTCTTACTACCTCTATAAGAAGCTATCGCTACTTCTACTTCCCTTTATACCCCTACCCTCTTCTTTATACCTCCTTTTAGCTCCTTCTTCCTCCTTCTATACCTATGTTTTTTTTAGCTTCTTAGGTCCCTCTTACTAAGGGATATCTCTAATAACTACGAAATAAAGCTACGCTTCGCGATAATAAAAGCGTTTTTCGTTTAGTTTTAGTATATATATTTAATAATTAGCTTAGACCTTTAGTTTTAAAAATTAATATTTACGTATATATAAATTATAATAGCTTTATTAGGTTTAATATCGTAATTCGTAGTATTACTTTTATAGTTTACTAAGTCTTTTATATTTTAAATAAACTACTTAATATTATAGGTTCTACTTTTATTATATTAAGGATAAAGAGGATTTCGTCTTTTATTTCTTTAGTTTCTTCTTTTAGATTCGCTATTTCATTCTTATCTTTTAATACTTTACCTTAAGTAAATTGGATTTAATTTTATACTTTCTAAGAGAGATATATCCCGCCTTAGTTATTAGTCGGTAGAATCAAGCGAGCGGGCGAGTAGACGGGCGGGCGTGTAGTGCATAAAGAAAAGGCAGTGGCCGTGGGGCGGTGGCTCCAGATGAGTGCATCGTGATTGATGACGATGATGCTGGCTAGGCAGAGTCGCGAAGGTCTTGTTCCTCTGGCAGCTGCCCGCAGTCGCGTGATGTATGGGCCGCTACAGGGCGGTCGAAAACGATTCGGAAGCGGGCCAAGATGATGATGATGCGCAAAGAAGAGAGGAGAAAAGAATCGGACGGCGGTTGATTGACGGCTTGGACTGGCCGACGCACTTTCCGTGCCTGCTCGATCCTTTCGGCAGATGCATCACACCTACAGTGCCATCAAAATAGCTTTGGTGCCTGCAACATAACATCCTAGGCGAGAGGCGAGAGTCGACCACGTTGCTTAACGACTCGTTATTTCTAGAGCTCCCTTCATAACCCAAGCCGGATCGTGTCTTCTTCGCGCCGACGTCATCAAAGTCGCCAATCGGCCTCTGCCAGTCTCATCGGGCTGGCAACTTTGCTTCTCTCCATATTCCACCGCAAAGCTTGAAAAGAATTAAAATTGAACAAGCCACCGGCAAGCGTCGCCTCAACTCTGTTCCGTAAGGCAAACATATAAATATGGACTTAGCCAAACCTGCTCTCTCGTTCGCAAATTTATTAGCATCTCGCCTGCCCCTAGTCTTGGCCTCAATTTTCTAGCTTCCAGCCGTCTTACCTCTTTCCCAGCTGCATCCAAACTTCATCATGGTGAACCGACCACTCCTGCAGAATCCGAGTTCGGAGCAGGATTCCCAGCAGCAGGCTACGCCTCCACCGCCATACCATGTTGATACGACACCATCGGGCCAAGACGAAAATGCGGGCAAATGCCCTCACGATGAAATGACGGAACGGCCGATAGGTGCCGAGGCAGTGGACATCATATTCAACTTCTACTCAGATGTCAAACCCAAGTGGATGGCGGATATAGACTGGGAGGCCAATCTTGCAGTTTACGGCGACGTGCCTCAATTGATGAGGGAGGGTTTCCACTTAACCGAAGCCAATATACGAAAAGAATGCGGATATCTTATTGAGGAACCCGAGTTCTTACTGCCTCGCCAGATGGAGAAGGGCTGGGATTATTGCCGAGTTTATCAACTCGCCGATCTACCCACTGACGGACGCCTCGGTGGTTTGCCAAACTTGGAGTTTGCGCTTGCGATATCTCTATACTTTCCGATTTTAGGGCAAGCAACTTGTCAGTCGACCGGATATACCTAGCCGAAGCTTGTAATAAGCAGGGGAAGGCAGTCTACCGGTTCTCGTACCATCGCCCCGAGAAGAACTTCGATACAATCTATGACAATAAGCATCTGGGGGGATTGTGGCCGCGGCTTAAAATAGAGCCAACGGCAGAGAAGTAGGGAGTTGGAAATATGTGTTATGAGAGTTGATAGTTGGGACTGTTTGCACAGACTTTCTTTTCTGTTGCCTCCGGAAGTTAATGTGAAAACACATTTGGCCAAGAAGACCAACGGAGTGGTTCAGCATGACTATTTACTTGCAGACGCCCCCCCCGCTTTCGGGGCTGACTGGGTGACTCAGCATTGGCGGGGTAGTTTGGCTATATGTAGTTTGTTGTCATCCTAAATCGGAGGAACCCGCCTCTACCTAGATCTTGAGGCATAGTTACGCGACCGCAAAGTGCAGACCTTGAACTCTAGACATAGACTTGACGGGGGAAAACCAAGGGTGGGCATCAGACACCCTCTACAAGGCCCGACGACCGAGCAAGATGCCCAACGCAGCAACCATCAGCCCCAAGGAAAAGTACAGCTTCCTCGACGACTACAGCGAAGGCGCCCATCCGCAGGTGCTCGAGGCCTTGATTGCCAGCAACTGGACGCAGGAACCGGGCTACGGCAATGACCGGTACAGCGCCGAGGCGCGGCAGCACATCCGGTACCACCTGGGCTGCGGGGACGAGGTCGGCATCTTCTTCGTCCCAACCGGCACCGCAGCCAACGCCATCTCGATAGCGGCGTGTCTGCGGCCGCACGAGGCCGTCATTGCTGCACGCTCGGGCCACATTGTGACACGCGAGACGGGCGCCGTGGAGGCGGGCGGCAACAAGATCATCACCGTGGCACCCGACAACGGAAAGCTGACGCCCGAGAGCATCGGCAAGGCCCTCGACGACAACTGGCACTATCCGCACATGGCCAAGCCGCGCCTGGTCTACATTTCAAACGCCACCGAGGTCGGCACCGTCTACTCCAAGGCTGAGCTGAGCGCCATCAAGCAGCTGTGCGAGGATAAGGGCCTCTTGCTCTTCATGGACGGCGCCCGCATCGGCGCCGCGCTTACCTCGCCCGTCAATGACTTGCTTCTGCGAGACATTGCGCGCCTCACCGACTTGTTCTGGATTGGTGGCACCAAGAACGGTGCCCTGCTGGGCGAGGCCGTCGTGGCCAAGAACCCCAAGCTGGCCGAGGACTTTGAGTTTTATGTCAAGCGGCACGGCGCCCTCCTGGCCAAGAGTCGCATCATGGGCGTCGAGTTCGGCGAGCTCTTCCGCGGCAATCTGTACTTTGACCTTGCTCGACGGGCCAACGCGGCCGCAGAGAAGCTCTCGCGCTCCGTCGTCGGCGCCGGATACGCACTGCGCGCCGATACCGAGACCAATCAGGTCTTTGCCGTCCTGCCATTGGGCCTCGTCAAGAATCTGCAGCAAGACTTTACCTTTTACGTCTGGGAAAAGTGTGGCGCCGATTGGGCCGTCGTGCGTCTGCTGACCACATGGGCCACCGACGTCGGCCAGCTCGAGAAATTTAACCAGACGGTTCTGAGCTGGACTCCATGAAAAACTGCGCGAGAAGTCTTTGCTTTTCTTTGTTTCCGCTCTGAGCGTCCACCCTTTGATTGACGAAGAATGAACAAAACAGGAGATGCGATCCTATACATTGGTACCGGTGGTTTTAATGAAGGACTATAGACCACATATGTCTGCCTGGGCGTGTTGAACGTCTTGCCTGAACACGGCCATTGGCAGTCCAAGGTGGTTGAGAGGCACGGGATTCAGCAGCGACATCGGAGTAAATGAGCTGCGCGAAAGAGGCTCTGTTAATGCCACTGGCACCGGAGCTTAAACATGCTTAAAGCCCCAAGTTGAGTTGCACAGCATGGTCGCCTTGTTGGGCACTGCATCGGTGATGGCTGCTTTGCAGATGGGGGTGCGAGAAGCGCGTGGGCGTTTGCTTTTGGTGCTGTTGAATGGGAAAGGGCTTTCCTTTCGCCAAGGTCGAGGACTGCTGGAAGGCGATGGGTCACATGCCAGTCACAGCGTGAGTAATACCTGACAATTATAATAATGGTCTTGCCGTTTTTGCAAGTTCAGCCGAGGAGCAGGTTGTCCTCTGGAGGCTTGATCGATGAAAAGCTTACCGCGATACCATCAATTTTACCGTGTCAGGGCCTAGTACGACGTTCGCGAGATAGGGCCATATGCGGTCTAGATGCTCGAAACGTAGATATTGGATATTTTCGCGGGAAACAGGGAGGATGGGAGGTGTCTCATCTTGTTACTTCATCGGTCTTGTCTGCAATGGACGAAGCAGACGTCTTAACATCAAAGGTCCCTTGCAGATCCGCCGTGCCGAGCTTCCCGTCTGGGATCCGCCCACCCCTGTCCATCGAGATCCAAGGCTCGATGGATCTGTGTGGGCGTGGAGATGGAGGCATGCATCCTGACTGATGCACAGGCAAGACGGATTAGACGGCATCACATGACGAATAATGCCTGCTAATCCGACGGGCAGCGGCGAGGCTGATCTTTTGTCGCATGTATTGAGAGATGAGAAGGGTGGAGGAGAAGGAGGCGGCATGGACAGTACTGACTTGGGGGGTGTTTCCGGATCCCGGCCCGCGGCCGAGGCATTGATTAAAACCGGATGGCTGTGCCGAGGGCTGCCTTAACATAGCCAAAGGAACGTATTCATAGAGCCTTTTCGTGTGGGTATTCCGTACACGGTCATGCCTCTTGGAGCTATTCACTGGTGCGTCTCAAGACGCGGGCGACACGGCCATGGACCACTGCATATATGAATACAGTACAAGTGCTGCTCGTGCAAGTGGCGATGCCGTGAAACGGTTACCTGTCTGAATCACTGAATCAAGCACTAACCTGACGTGACAGGCACGGCGCTTCTTCCATCATCTCTTCGTCCATGCAGCTCGCACTCCACCAACGATCAAGGTTTTACCAACCATCATCCCGTCCCCACATACTCGGCCGACGACATTGGGTTTCGACTCATGCATGCCGAGGGCCACCTTTTCACGGATATAGCATCCAGCCCTCTAACCCATCCACCATCCTGCGAGAGACTGTCTGCTGTTAAAGACTCGAGGCGTGCCGTCCGGCCCTTTCCTTTTTTTCGTCGGTTTCGATCCCTGGGACTCTGGGCTTGGCAGACGAAAGTGAAGACAACATCGGCCAGCAGAGTTCAGCTTCAGGTGCCGTCCTTGGGCAAGGCTATGCTGCATCCTTTTCCTCGCCAACGTGGCCGGCACGAGTGTACATCCATCCAACGACAGTGAGAAGATCCAAGCTGTCTGCGCACGGAATCTGTCAAACAGGGGCAAGCCCGGGTTGTGCTGGTTGGTAAAACGACAGCTCAACCGTCGGCGCTTCAGTCTTTTTCTCCTCGTCACTCCATACTGGATCTTTCTCCTTCGCATCGATCCCATTCCTCAACCCCACAGCCCGAAGTCCGCTCTTTTGGTGCAACAAGCCAGAATAACGTCGTGGGTTCACAACAGCAAAAGCTTTTGTCGCAGCAACTGCTAGTCAGTGGGGCCAAGCCCCTGTCACCAGGTCATTCGATCTCAGCTGAGGCTCAGCACCAGTCAATCATTGACGCACCCCCCGTGGCTGGGGGCTCTTCGAGGCAATCGGATCCTAGTCGAGACGTCATTTGCAGCACTGGGCGCATAGTCAGCTTTGGCCATACTATCTACCTCTCTCTTGACAGAAGAAATAAGGTGGGCGATTTCACAATGGGTGCCATTTAGTTCCCCCGCTCTTCAATGTCTCCGCCGCTTCAACTGGGTCCAGACGGCGTGCTTGGCTCGTTTCTTTGTTTTGCTGCGGCCAAATGCCAAGAATTACGCTGTAATGGGGGCCGTGGGAGCTGAGCGAGCTGAGGAGACTCATCGGTCGAATTGGAGGAAGGGATGTGAGGAGCGGTGAAGCCGAGAGATTGCGTTCGCTACCTCTTATTACAAGAGTCGAGGTGTTCAGGTCTATCCAGTTCTTGTCATTATTCTGTGTTTGCCGAACAAGGAGTTATTCCAACTCTTCCCTCAATGGCCTCGTCAACAAGTTCATCGCTGACATACAAACCTCCGTTCCAGTCATATCTGTCCTCAAAAGGAGTAGCATCCTCCATATCCGCCTCTTTCCAGCCTCGCCGCCCAAATCGCTCATCTCTGCTGGCAAAAAGGTGGCACAGGGATCGGAAAGGTTCCTGGCCCCATGAAGGTCATCGTGACGGGCGCCACCGGCAATGCCGGAAGACAGATTGTCCAGCAGTGCATCGACAGCCCGCGCATCACCAAAGTGGTGATTCTGACGCGGAGGGCTGTCTCGGGCGAGGTCGAGAGCCACCCCAAGGTCGAGGTCGTGATGCAGCAAGACTTTTCTCACTATACTGAAGCCGTAATGAGCCGGCTCGAGGGCGCAGAGGCGTGTCTGTGGTAAGAAGCCCGCTGTTCCGTCCTGGTTCCCTTGTCCTGTCTCAACGGAGTGAGATATCTCGTCTATTTCTGTCTGCGGCTAAGCAAGTGGACCTACTCACGTCCCTTCGGAATCACCAGGGCCATCGGCAGTCGCGCAGAGCAGCTCAAAAGTGAAAAGGGCCTGCACCGCAAAGTAGGCGTCGAACTCCCCATTACCGCCGCCAAGGCGTTTTGCGCACGGCTCGCAAACAAGGTGCCAGCAAAAGGCAAGTTCCGCTTCGTCTTCTGCAGCAGACACGCCGCCGAGAGGAGCAGGAGGCCGCTGCTCCTGATGAGTGAGTCGCGCCGGTGCGTCAACGAGGTTGAACGGGGCCTGGGCGAGGTGGCCGACGACGCCCACCGAGACAAATTTGAGGCCTATATCCTGCGTCCTGCCAGCTTCATCGCCTCGGAGGGGCAGTTTCCGGAGCCGCCGGCATCGGTTTCGAAGAAGTTGGTGGGCGGGCTGCATGGGTCCTCGTCGTCCTCGTCGACTATCGGGACGGTGCAGGTCGGAAAGGCTATGGTGCACGTGGCCTGCAACGGATGGAGGGAAAGGACTATTGAGAACGACGTTCTGGTTAAGGTTGCGTGAAGAACAGCGGGATCTTGCGACTAATGACAAAGGAAAGACGGCCAGAGCGAGTTGGGCGGCTACCGGCTGCACTTGGAACAGGAAGAGGCATCGTATGGCGACTGGGCACAGTTTGGCAACATGAGACGACCTTCATCTTTATATCCTGTTTCGCATTGAGCGTTAAGGTATCAATTCAGCCTTGTATGTAATGGCGATGGTGAAGTGCGAACAGCATGATGCAATATGAACTCGAATCGCTCTCCCAGTCCCAACCCTCCGATGTCATAATATTTCCCGGACTGTTACATCCAGCCCATCAATCAATAAGAAACAATGGTATACACAGCATGTTTCTGCCGGCAAGTGTTGGTCCCAGATCTGCCGTCGTTGGAGGCTCCCGTCCCCTTCAAGCCCCTGATGAACCAACGCCCTCAATCCGTTCCCCTAAGATGGAACCCCTTTCGGAAATCTAGAGCCCCAGGAACGGATGCTGCCAATTAATGCCGGCGTAGGTTTCATGGTTCATCTGCTGTATCTCGCCGTCTGCCGTCTGGCGCGCCCTTTCCGACTCATCCCTAGTAAACGGCGCTCGACAACGCCCGCGCCGACCATTGCTCCGTCTCAGGCCCGGACCCGGCATGGAATTCATGGAGGTATTTGGCTGACGAGCAGGCAGCGCTCCTTTCCCGGTGGGCTCTTGACGAGACCCTGCAGGGCTCAGTGGCTTGGAGAACCGCCGTGGTCTAGGGGAAAATTCTTGCGGTGCCTCGGGCCTCTGCGTTTGCCTGGTCCGAGCTGGGATGTTGGCTTCTCGAGAGTTGGAGTCGAGAGGCTTGGCTGGTCGTGGATGTCGGAGTCTCAGTGCCTGTTTGCCTTTGGCGCATAGCCACGACCAGCAGCCGCCAGCTGGGAGAGCCTCTTGTTTTTGCGAGAGCAATCGCTTCTCCTCGCCGGTATCGTCTCCCTCCTCCCACGACGGGACCTCAGTGATGACTTCAAGGGAACCTGCCCTCCTCGTCGACACGGTGCGCCGCCCCGACACGCCGTGGCGTGCTGGCATTCTGGGCGGCACTCTCTGGCCCACAGTGCTGCCCTGGGGACTATGGTCGGCAGAAGCGGCCGAGTTGCCGAGTGAGGGCGGCGATGCAGACGGCCACTGGACTCCTCGACCGGATTGCGAGGCTTGGTCGTACGCCGAGAGCTTGAGGGACGACGCCGGGTCGTCTTGGCTAGGCCGGCCTTGGCTGCGTCCCTTGTCCATTGCCGACTGTGATTTGGCCGGCGGTAGCGAATGCGCAATGAGGCTGTGCATAATTGAAGAGGTCGTCTTGATGTGGTTGCACAACGTGAAGCGCAAAGTGACCGTGTTAGTAAGGGCCTATGAGGATTGTTGGCTCTGCTCAGTCATTTAAGATGCCAGTCTTTTCCCTTCCTCCAGTGGAAATGCTCCTGTAATTATGGAGATGCTTTGATGCCTTGTTTATGTGGGTTTTCAGATATTCAAGGTTAAGATTTCGTCGTCGCCCGTCAAAGATGCGGCGGCCAAAAGTCTGGGGTGGTGTTGGCGGCGCCACCAAACAGGCCTCCATCACCACCATGAAGAGTTTCAGGGCGCCAACGGGTGAAATAGAGTCCATGGCAAAGCAATGCAAACTCTTTACGACAGAATTGTTCTTGCGTCAGCGCTTAGAGTCATCGTCGCAGCGAATTTACTTCGCGTCTGTATGCACGTGTAGGCTGGTGATTCCGCCGAAGCCACATCCTCGCGATTTAAGCTCCTTCGAAGAAGCAGGCCAAGAGACCGCCAACTCTCGAGGGCCTTGACTGGCCGAGTTCCAGCGACAATACTATCCTCAAATTACTAACTTTCACTTCTCAAGAGCACCTTGCGACTCTCACCGCCAAACGAAGCCATGTCGCCATCGACAGTCAGCTTCTTCTACGTTATACTCGGCTTGCTTTGCTTTGTCGCGGGATTGGCTGGCAAGTTACAGTACCGAGCAAGACTCCGGCGCGCACACGAGGCCGTCACCGACGAGGAACAGACCCAGTCGGTCTCGGAGACAGACGCAGGCAACCAGGCATGCCCGCTCGAGCCGGCATACTTGGCAGAATTTTTGGGCAGGCCCTGTGCCGGCGAGGCGCCTTTGCAGGGAAACACGACGCGGCCGTCCGCATGCTATCTTCCATGACCAGTCAGACAAGAGAAAGTTTTGACGCTTCTCTTCTCGGCATACCGCGCTGACTCTTATCGCAGTCTGTCATTCATTTTCAAGAAACGAGCATGCTATTGGCAAGACATTAGCGGACGGTGTTGTGGCTCTTAGTCTGGGGCGACAGGGCGACATGAATTATGGACATGAACAGGTGTAAGGCAACAAGCATGATTTGGAACCAGCGGATGCATATGGCAACTATATGTATGCAAAGATACTACTTACGGGGAAATTATCCTGTCAAACCAACGATTAGAAATCCACGCTGGATCAGTTGCGGTGCTATGCACTCAATGTTCCATCGGCACTTTGCTTTCGACGGTCTCACGACTGATGTGTTGATGTCAAGGTTCCTGCGTGGAGCATGTGAAAATGAAAAGGCATAGCTCAGTCTATTTACGGCTCAGAACTCCGGAGAGAGAAGAAATTCCTGGTAAAGAAGATGACGAGTGGACCACCGCGGATCCCTTGTTGCCGCACCGTGGGCGTCTCCCAGAGTTCAGCCTGTTCTGAGCGTACAGTAGAGACCCATACTCATGTCCTGCGGGATTGGATCGTGTGAGCCTTTTTGGGCCAAGATTTGTGGCCAAAGCCGGAACTGGCGCAAGCCGTAATCTTGCCGTTGCGCGTGCCGCCTGGATCACAAAGTGCCAGCATGCGACATGGCATGCGTCCGTGGTGGAGTCGGCTGACGGTGGCAAACGGTAGAGACTGGAGAACAAGGACTATCATGCATGTAATAGTGGCTCGGGACCTAGAGAGAGGGTAAGCCGATATTTGCCCCTGTCTCCCAGCTGTGCCCGCCCCCTCTCCTTGTCGTATTTCCTTTGGGATGCAGATGACAGACAAGAGTTGAGACTCCCCTAACCCCGCATCCCAAGCATTTGACTCACTTCCGTCCTTGTGATGGGAAGATGAAGTTGGAAATGGGGTTCTCATGGCGATCTCAAGTTCTAGCATTTGCCTTTGATTGCCTGCCCCTTTCAGTCAACGTGCTCCAAGTTGGCAAGCGCTTCGATAACCTTGCAACAACAGCAGTTGGCAGTCGTCAAAAAGAGATGGGGTGAGAGGCGAATCATCAGAGTACTATTACGGATAAGAAGCGTACGGAATGATAATGTCAAATCTTCCGTTTACCTTCCACATACAGCTTCAAGCAGTTGTCAGCATCGAACGTTATTTCTGGCGCTTTAATTACTTCAAAGACTGCATACAGCAACCCTACCTTTATTACCCACCCATGGCTCCCCCCTTGTTGCAGCTGCACATCAGCATCCCAGACCCATGGATCTCCGCAACTTTGCTTTTGCGTGCCCAGGTGCAGCCCCAGACCCGGACCGGCATGCGCCCCGATCGATGATGAACAGAGAAGAGGGGGCCGGGGACAGGGGTCCAGGCAGAGGGGTAGTTAACGGCGGCTCGAGTTAGCGGTCTCTTTCCCTCTCCAGATCGGGTGCAACATGGCCGATACTCTGGTAAACTAGATGCCCCCCTTTCCATTACATGTGGTGGGTTGAACCCGTGGTTGCCGGTACCATGGGGCGGCAACGGATCTTTCCCCATCGACGTGCCATCGTGCGCAGCTAGGGATATTACCATTCTATAAACCAGTGAAGACTCCCAGACTCCCTCGATTCCGTGATTCAATGATACCGATCGGATTCTTGTCGTCTTGCACACGCTGCGCAGCTTCTAGTACCACAGCAGCTGAGCAGTTCCTGCATGGAGCGCGAGAGTCAATACCATCCGACCAACAATGGCTGCCGGTTCTCCCTTCAACTGGCTCTGGTCCCCCTCTGGCATGACGGTAGGCGTAGCCGCCATTGCCGCGCTTGCGACTCTGCTGGCTTTCATCGCCAGCTGCGTGCGAGCCTACCGTCGTCTAGCTCACGTCCCCGGACCCAAGTGGATGGGCGTCACGAATCTCATCATGGCCAGGAAAATGTACGGAGGCAATATGCACTATGACCTGCTCGAGCTCAAGAACAAGTACGGTACGTCGGATTGAGGCTCGACGTTCTATATGACTGGAAGTCGCCCCGCAGCCAAGGCGAATCGGCGTCATCTTCGAAACCTAGACCCTGTCCAGTACTGTACTGACGAGTTGCCTTTGCATTGCCTCTCGCTTTAGGCCCCATTGTCCGTACCGGACCCAACATGGTAATTGTGAGCGACCCAAACGTCATCCGCATGATGTCCGCCGCTCGAAGTGAATACGCTCGCGGGCCGTACTACAAGGCGGTCCGCATCAACCCGCACGTCGACAACATATTCTCGATGACGGACGACAGGCTGCACAAAATGCTCAAGAGCAAGATGGGTCCCGGGGTACGGTGCCCACTCCGCATATTTTCCTCTGTCATCTCCAAACACTTCATTGCGGCTACGGGTGTGCTTAATGTTGCCTTCTGAGTGACAGCACTGGCGTACGAAGCAATTGGGAGGTTCCCGTACGTGTCAGTGAACTGACAAAGACCCAAACTTGTGCAGTACTCTGGACGAGAAATGGGCGGATTCGAGCCCGGCATCGACAAGCACGTGTCCTCGTTTGTCGACCTCATTGAGCGCAAGTACATCTCGACGCCCGGCGAGTACCGGCCCATGGACCTCGCCATCAAGTGCAACTACTTCGCCCTCGATGTCATCAGTGAGCTCGGCTTCGGCGCTGCCTTTGGCTTCCTGAAGGAGGACCGCGACCTGTATCAGTACAACGAAATCACGCGCCAGTTCTTCCCTTTTGTCATGTTCATGAGCAACGTCCCTTTTCTGCTGTCTATGCTTGGCAGATGGCCACTCAGTTCCATGGGACCGACGGCCGGGGACGCAGCCGGATTCGGACGACTGATGCAGTACGCAGCGCCTTGGCCAGCCTCCTCTTCGGTTGATCGTTGTAGTCCTTTTCCTCGCTTGTCCTGTAGCTGGGATGGTAGAGAGGGTTTTCTGACCAGGCTTCCTTTCTAGATTCGCGGCCAGTTTTGTTGACAGCAGGCTAACCCCCGGATCGAAACCAGGCAGCGACATGATCCAGGCTTTTATCGACAGCGGCCTGACCCGTGACGAGCTTATGCAAGAAGTATTTGTTGAAACGTATGCCGCGCCAGATGAGCAGAGACGACATCTGTTCTCCATTCCCTTCTTCTCCCCTAATTCGGTGTCTGCTGCCATACAAGTCCGGATCCTGACAAGCATGGCGAAACGCAGGGTTGCCGGTTCCGACACGACAGCTACGGCAGTGCGATCGACGATGCTATGTCTGCTGGGCAACCCGGTGGCTCTTGCAAGGCTTCGCAAGGAAATCGATGAGGGCATCGCAACGGGCACCATTTCGTCGCCCATCAAAGACAATGAGGCGCGTCAGATGCCGTACCTACAGGCCGTCATCCGCGAGGGCATCCGCATGTTCCCGCCGGCAACAGGGGTTCTTTCCAAGGAGGTGCCCGCCGGCGGCGACAACATCCTGGGATACGACATGCCGGCGGGCGTGCAAGTTGGGCACAACATCTGCGGCTTACTGCGCATGCCGGAGCTATTCGGGGCCGATGCCGAGGTTTTCCGACCCGAGCGCTGGCTCGAGGCCGAGGGTGAGCCGGAGAGGCTCAAGGAGATGATTGGAGGGGTCGAGTTGGTGTTTGGGTATGGAAAGTTCCAGTGCCTGGGCAGGACGATTGCACAGATGGAGTTGAACAAGATTTTTGTCGAGGTACGCGAATCTCTTTGTTTCCGTATTCCTTCGGCGAGCTGTCTCAGGCAGCAACGGATATGAGACGGCCTTGCTAACGAACAACCTGTTAGCTGCTACGGCGGTTCGACTTCCACATCGTCCACGTCGACAGGCCGATGCGCCTGCTCAGCGCCGCGATGTTGATCATGGATGACTTTTGGGTTCGGGTCTCGCAGCGTGCCGATTCATTATTATGCTGACATTCAATGGCTATGGGATGTTTCTGATTCGGTTTCTTATGTCGCTAATGTGCGGTCACAGCTGTAAAATAGAGGCAAAATGTTGACCCTGATTCAGACCAAGGCCTTGAGTTTGGTAACGATTGTGTCCTCCCAGTAAATATTTAAGTTTCTGGCATACATTTCGCCAATACCTACATATGACCAAAGTTGCTGAGAAACGGCCGGAAGCCAGGTGATTACCGGTTCCGGACGGCGGTCTCTCGGGCTTGGCCAGCATCCGACGTCTAGTTCCATGCAGGAGGCTCGGGACCGATATGACAGCTGCTGACCGATGACTGCCTTTTGATGGACATATAAACTGTTCGCTCTTGTCCCCCTTACGTGATTCTGTACGGTTAGTAGAAAGAGCACGTTTGCCTCCTTCATCCTCCATCCGTTGGCATCAGTGCCAATGAGAACCATGCCCGCACCTATCGCCATAGTGGGCGCCGGCCCATGCGGCCTGACGTTCGCGCGCTTGCTCCAAGGCGCCGGCATCGAGTACGTCGTGTTTGAGCGCGACGCATCACCGGAGCCACCGGAGCGGTACCAGGGTGGCACGCTGGACGTGCATGGCCACACGGGTCAGGCAGCGCTTCGTCGCGCAGGCTTACACGCCGAGTTCGAAAGGCTGGCTCGCCGCGATGCCACGACAATGACGATCCAAGACGCCCGCGGCAACCACCGAGCCACGTTTGGGGAAGGCCGAGATGCCCCTGAAATCGATCGCTTGCAGCTGCGGCAGATGCTACTCGATTCGTTACCAGCGCATCGCATTCGTTGGGGCAAGGTCCTTCGGTCTGCCGAGCGTGACGGGCGCATGAAGCAATCGGACCCGGCGGGCCCTGTTTTGCGCTTTGCCGATGGCTCAGTCGAGACCGGCTTCCGCCTGGTCGTGGGAGCCGATGGCGCATGGAGCAAGCTGCGGCAGATGGTAAGTGACGGGCAATATTCACCGCAAAGCTTTGTCTATTAACTGCGCTTCCTCTGTTTAGATAACCTCCGCGAAGCCGCACTACTCGGGCACCATGTTTGTCGAGGGCTGGCTGACACAGAACAATTCTCAATATCAAGCGGCCCGAGACATGGTGGGCTCCGGCAACTCGATGGCCATGAGTGCCGAGCGCAGCCTTTGCGTACAGCAAATGTCCGACGGCTCATACCGCGTTTACATGGGCCTCAAGGCCCCCGAGACCCTGACAGGGCCCGGTGGTGACGCCGACCTCGCCGACATGGACAAGGCGCGCGCTGCGATGCTCGGCTTTTACGCAGACTGGGCTCCGCACCTCCGGGCCTTTGTGGACGCCGCCGAAGGACCCTGGCGCTCCTGGCTGCTATACCACCTCGACCCGGATCTGTTTCTACCGGAAGCCCCGGGGTGGACGCGTGCCCCCGGCATCGTACTGCTGGGGGATGCCGCGCACGTGGCGATCCCCAATGGCGAGGGTGTCAACCAGGCCCTGTACGACGCACTGGTGCTGTTTGAGTGCATACTTTCCGAGCTCGGCAAGACAGATGGCTGCTACAACCAAGACGAGGACGCCGCGGCGCTGGAACGCGCCGTCGTGGCATACGAGATGGATATGCGTCCTCGTGCCCGCCTTCATATCCAGGACGGCCTCGACCTCGACCACATGATTTACAACGATGAAGGGGCGCAACGCATGGTCCACGCGCTCACCGTGGCTACGGAGCAGAGCGGAGCAGAGTTGTCTTAGTTATTAGCGAGCAAGTTTCATCACAGCCGACTTCGTTTGACTATTAGCTCTTGTGTTTGACTCCATCTCCAACCGTCCCTCCAGAACTCGCTCGTGTTTAAAATTACGCTCTTATCCTCAAAAACAAAAAGGTTAAAGACCTGGCGACTTAGAGCTGCCTTGCAGCATGCAGCAACTGAAAGGATACGCCTCTGAACTTCACGTCTGAATTTTGCATGGTATGTATGTATTATGCAGACCACCTGGTTTTGAGCTAACAGACACTTCAACAACAGTTGCTGAATTAGCTCCTGATTGTTTTACACGAGATATTGTAACGGCCTCTCAATTTACTAGAGCAAAAGAACACTTCGCTTCACCAGACGTAAAGTTGCATGGCCCGCGCCAGAGGCCTGACATCGTTGTGACACGCGTAATCGGTTCGTCCTCGAATCGGGATATGAAACCCTCTTAGCGATTCATCTCTTCCAAGACTTCGAATCCCGCGATGGAAAACTTTTGGACGTGGCTGTTGCCTTTTCTGTGCTGGCAGCGATTCCCTCGTGCAAGGAGACGGTGTACCATCTTCAAGGATCAACCGTCATGGCCTAGCACTTCGAAAATGAGCTTGATGCATAAGTCCCTGCACATAGAAATGGGCACCCCCCTGTTTTGGGCACCCCAAAAAATCACGACCATTTTCAACACCATTAATTCAATCCCTTCTCACTGCCCACCACCGTGCACTACGATACAATCGTCACCTATTTCTGAAACCTCAGCTTCGGTTTCATCAGATTCTTCATTCTCAGCTGCGTTCACCTCCTCCTGCGCCCGTCGTATTGCCTCAATATTGGCGAACCTCGAATTCGGGCTCGTGACCACCCTCTTCCTTTTTCGGCTTGACGGCCGCCAATTGTGTTTCCAGTGCCTGAATCTGCAATTGAGCTTTTGCTAAAAGGCCATCCTTCTCGTCAAACCCTTTTGTGATCTTCCTGAACAGCAATCTCTTCGTGGGCACGTCGTCGTCTAGCTGGTTGAATTGAACTACCTGAACCTTCAGATCTTGCGAGCGCCTCGGGGTCGACCACGCAATCTGGGATGTGTCTGATTGCCAGTCACTGGTGGGTAAGTGGCTATTGAATGCATTGGCCACATTTTTCGCGTTCTTTTGCGTCTGTTGCTGTTCTCCAGCAGAAGAGGGCTCAAAAGTGGCTTCGCCATCGACACCGGCCACAAACCCGTCGCTTTCCAGCCACCCTTGATGTTTGACACAGTGAGCGCTTGCTCGCGTGCTTTCTGGTAGCAGGAAAGAAAGTTTTGCTTGCCGACTGGGCTTGAATCGGTCAGGAGGCTGAGAAATCCGACCTGTTTGCGGTAGTAGTGCTAAGAGCGAGAAGACAGACAAATCGAGCGGTTGCAGCACATGAGAGGTATGGGAGGTAAGAAAAGAAGGTGAATCTGATGCTGGTAGCATAGATACATGAAGTCAACCGTCTCGTGACTTCCGTGGCCGTCCAATACTAGCAGTCTTCGCTCCGAAGGGTCGGGTGGCTGGGTTCTTGGAATGAACACCTTTTCGAGCCACTCCACCGCAGTTTGGTCCGAAGTCCAGCCGTTCTTTGTCGCAGTGAATTGCCAGTCACTAAAAGTACTGAGATCTTCTGGGAACCACTGTTGCTGGACCGATTTGCCCTTGAAAATGACGGGTGGAGGGAGGAAGGTGCCGGCAGCGGACACGCACTCGATGAACGACGTCCAGACCCGAGAACCAGGCGTCTTCTTTTGTACAGATCGTTTTTCAGCACTGCCAACGACCAGGCCATTCTCCCCAAGTCCTTCCATGATGCCTGCTTCATCCATGTTGTACCTGTTCTCCGGCTTAATAGCCAGAATCTCGGAAGGAAGAAATTGTTGAACCAAGGCCGAATTACCTCGGTAGAAGCGCCGTTGACACGCGCAGAGTCTCTGTGATGGCACTTCTGGGTCCGAACTGCAGGATTTCGTCTTAAAATGCTTGCATCCAGTGTTTTCCGAGCGGTGTGTGGTCTCCTTTGACGGCGAGCATGCGCTGCGCGAACTGCCTGATCTGCGAGTGAGTGGGAGGAAGGCCCAAGGCGTCCTGAATGAGAATCCATTCGGTAAGTTGCTTTTCCTGTGTCTGAGAAAGCCTCTGAAGAGCAGAAAATGCATCCTTTCTGCATTCGTGACCATGCATGCGATTGTAAAGAGTTGCCCTCGGGACGCCCCAATCGCGAGCAGCCTTCTTGGCGGATCCGCCATTGGCGATTGCCTCAAGGGCGCTGTGAATGTCAGACTCTGTATATTTCATCAGTAGTGGCTTGAAGACACATGCGTCAATTTTTTAGCAGATTGGATGCGTTTCCGCGGTGAAATTTGCTGTTGAAGTTGACGCAGCCGTTTAGGTTGGGCACCCATCTTGGGTGCCCAAAACAGGGGGGTGCCCATTTCTATGTGCAGGGACTTAACGCTAGCTTGCATGGGTTTCAGCTTTCTCCAAGCATCCGCATGAGTTGGATAACCATTGGCCGACTGGTGACTCTGCGCGGCGCTTCTCGCTTCACGTTGCCTCCCACCACTCCCTCCGAATCAAGAAAGAGTGTAAGTCAATAACACCGTAATCCTTAACATAACCTTGCAGTAACCTTCCGGACGCTCGGCCATCCAGACTATTCGTCTTGACTTCTCACGATCTCTGTTAGTCGCTTCACTCAATCTACCCAGGCCGCATTTCAGAATTCAAGTCTGCGGAGCGTAAATTTGTCTGCAAAGTCCTGCCATCTAAATTGAACCTCTCGTCCTTTATAACTCGTGTCCTCTTTTTTGGCTTAGTGCACTGTCCCCGAGGTTCGATAATATCGGTCAGCAGTGCGAGATCTCGCTATTTTACCCCAAACCACAAGGGGCAAGGTAATAATAAAGTGAACCGCAAGGCTATCGAGAGCAGCGATCGAGGCCCATGCTCCGGCGCCAAAGATTTGTAAAAAGACGCCCGTCATACTAGCAATGCTAGGGACAAAAGCAATAACCACAAAGGCTTGTAAGATGACCTCTTGTCTCCAGGTAGCATGCTTTCCGTGGATAGATTTGAGGGAGGCGCCGACGAGGATGTCGGAGCCCAAACCCTAGGGAAGCAAGCATACGTTAGCATAGGGATCCATCACAACCGTCAAGAAGCTCTAAATCCGAATGAAGCCAAGGCGGTACCAGCGGCAGGGAAGACCAAATTACGCGCCATGGAAATTTAATCTTGTGAGCATCGATTTATACGGTAACATGATTAGCGACTTGGGGAAAGCACATACACGACTGGCTGTGTTACCAAAGACGACCAGACCGGCCGACATGGTCAAAGATCCTAGCATAAGTCTTAATAAGTTATATTAATTAAAGCTAAAGAACATATCTATAAGAGTATTACTATTTATATAAAGATATATCGTTATTCGTATAAACGCCCTATTTTTAACATTCGTACCAACACTAGCCCGCTCCGCCTATTTATACCGCGCCCGCATGGCAGGTAGCGGTACCGCCTAAACGCCCGCGCCCCCGCCCGCCTATAATTACACACACACACAATTTCTTTTTTATATTATTACTCGCATGCAGCCTCTAGGGCCATGGCGAGGCTAATAGGGGCCTAGATCTTCCTTTTAGTAAGGAAGTAGTCTACCTAGCTTATAAGGGCCTTAAGGAGATTTAAGTCCCTTAAGACCCTTATAAGCTATTCCTTCGATATAAAGTTAAAGGCGCCCTTTATATCTAATAAGACAGTACTAGTAATAGCCTTCTTATTAGATTCCTACTTCTTTTAGATATAGTATAAAAGGAGGAAGGCTATATTTATAGCTAACCGCTATTTTCGTCCCCTTAGCTATATAGGGTTTAAAAGCCTAGCTATATTAGCTAGATAGCTTAGCTAGGTAGCGTATAGCTTTTCGAGGACCTTTCCTAAGTAGTTAAGTAGACTTATAACCTTATAGGCTTTAGGGATAGTATAGTCTAGCTTATCTTACTTAGGAAGTATAATTCCTATAGCTTCCTTTTATACCTTAGGGTAGTACCCTTAGTTAAATAAAGCTTTATAGGCCTTAATAAAAACTATAGGTATTATATACTAGTCCCTTAGTATAAGGCCGGTACTTTAACCTTACTATTTACTTAGATCTAGTATAAGTTTAATAGGTAATAAAACGGACTAGCTACTATATATACTTAAACGTATTATATAGGCTAGATACTATATATTATTATATATATTAAATATAAACTAGCTACCGGTCTTATAAGTTAAAGTAAGAATAGTAATAACTATTTATATTCTTTTTTACCCGCTTAAGATCTAGTAGGTTCTTTAACTTCTATATATACTATAGTAAGCGTAAGACCTTACTTAGAGCTTAACTATATAATATCTTAGCCTTATAATTATATAACGGTAGTATAATATATTAGCGGTATTTCCTAGTATTTTTCCTAGGTAGGTATAGGTACTTTTCTTTAATTTCCCTACTATAATCTTATAGTAACTTCTTAAGGAAATATTAATATAATCCTTAGGGAGCTATTATTACTTACGAAATCGTAGTATATTCCTTATATAATATATCTATAAGGGAAATCTCTATAAAATATCTATATAACCCGCTTAGTTATTATTTCTAGGATTTCTAGGTAATTTCCTAGAGTTTACCTAGTAGCTTTTAGGTTCCTTCTTTTATAAGGAGCTTTAAAGAGTTAAGGGTAACTTCCCTAAGATAAGTAAATATTATTATAAGTACCTAGATTATTAACTATAGGGTGGCCTTCTCGCGTAGAGAGATATAAGAAGTATATAAAAATATATAAAGGTAAAATTAAAAGTAAGAGATCGGATAGGTAAGGTAGAGATATTTAATTCTTATAGGGGTAGTTATTATAGTAAGGGAGTAATTATTATATTACTTTAATTATCCTTCTTTCCTTTATTTAACGCCCTTCTTTATACCTATCTAGTATCTTAATTAATAAAAAAGATCTTACTTAAAGAAGCTATTAATATCCTCTTAACTACTAAGCTTTTTAATAGTTTTTCCCCTCCTTTCTAGCCGTTGCTAGTATATCCGTCTTATCTCTCGCTACCTCTATAGGAAGCTATCGCTACTTCTACTTCCCTTCTTTCCTTTACCCTCCTCTTTATACCTCCTTTTAGCTCCTTCTTTTAAACCGGTTTTTTAGCTTCCTAGGTCCCTTATACTAAGAGATTTCTCTAAGAACTATAAAATTAAGCCACGCTTCGCGATAGTCCTATAATAAATACCTAGGGTAAAAGAATTAACCAATATCTTTATTAGTCTCCTATAGTATTTAAGTAGGAATTATATTAATAGGGAATTATAGTAAAGTTATATAGATATCTAAGGTTAGTATAAGGGAAAAACTTATATTTTATATAAAACGTAACCTAGGATAAACGTTAATTAAGAAAGTTATATATAACGCTAAAACTAGCGCTAAGCTATATAAGGAACGCTACTATTAAAATTAGCTATAGCTTACTCTTACCTTCCTTATACTTATTTCCTTGCTTAAGTACGATTATCTCTTAAATATACCTTAGAATTCTCTTAATCTAAGCTTAGATATACTCTTATAATAGCTCTTTTTAAGCTAAATTCTAAGCTACGATAGCTTCCTACTAGCTTTATAGCGTAACTTTTCTTATAGTCCGTCTCTTTATCTAAGGCTAGGTAGGCTCTATTATATTAAGGTTAGGGCTATTACTATACTAAAGAAGCCGCTAAACTTAATAAAAGTTATAAGCTTACTACTAAATATAGTAGTTATATATTAGAGCCTTATCTTCTTAAACTATTATACTTAGTTAGTCTTATATATATTTCTTAGAGAAAGGAAAGAGCTTTAAAATAAGGATATAGTTATCCTAAAAGGTAGAGACTTTAGTAAGGCTAGTAATCTTATAGGTAGTCTTACCGCTAAATATAAGCTTAACTACGAAAGCCCTTATTATAATATTTATATTTAAGGCTATAATAAGAAAAAATATAATAATAAAGATATATAAATTTATATAAAAAAAGAAGGGAATATTCCCTTATAAATTAAGTATAGGGTTTCCTAGCTTAATATTAAGCTATATATATAGGGATATATATAGGGATTAGCCCCCTATTAAATAAAACTTTTAAAATACTCCTTTAAATAACTAATACTAAGGGCGCGAGGTAGCTAAGCTAAAGGTAAAATACTACTAAAACTAAGGGCGCTAAGTAGCTAAACTAAGGTAATAAATAAAGTAAGGCTAAGGGTATAGTATAGCTAAGCTAAGGGAAAACTAAATAAAACTAAGAGCGCTTTATAGCTAAGCTAGTAAAAAGTAAATAAGACTAAGGATATAATAAGGCTAAACTAATAACTAGCTATCTTACGCTATAAAGGTAAGGGTAAGGTAAGGAATCTCCTTCTTAGCTTCCTCCTTTATTAGTTCCTTAGCGCCTACTAGCTTATTATTTAAAGTATCTTATATATTAAAGGCTCTATAAATAAGTATACTATAAGCGTTATTTAAGGCCGGTTCTATTAAGAGTATTATAGCTAGTCTATTATAAGAGGCTAGAATTTAGTTATAGATTACTACTACCGGTGCCTATATAGTTAGGCCTAGGTTTTAAAACCTACCTAGGTATATACTAGTAAACCTTTAGTCTAAAAAGCTAAAATAAGCTATTATATTAGCTATATAAAGGCGGGCCGCTACTAGCGTATATAAAAGGCTAACGCGGGTAGCTCTTTAATATACTATAGTAAGCTTAAGCGAGTTATTTAAGAGGTAAGTAGCGAATATAAACTAATAGATAAAGCTAGTAAGTAATTTAGTAAAAGCAGCGTACTAACTAAGTAAGAGGTTACTATTAACCTTTTTATAAATAGTAGTAAATAGATTTACTTAAATTATAGCTACGTTTAAGTCTCTATAAACTAACGCTTCTAACTTAAAGTAAACGATACCTATATAGCTATTTAGATCGCCTAGGTTATTAAAGTATATTATAAAAGGTATAATATAGAATAGTCTAGGTTTTTTATAGCTTAGAACTTAAAAGGGGTTAAGCTTTAATCGGACTAGCTTTAAGGCCTATTCCTTAGTAAATAGGTTAGCTTACTTAAAAAAAGTAGAGGGTAAGGCCGCGGCGGTAGTAAGTAAGCGTTTAGTAAATAGGTTCCTTAATAGCTCGTTAAAGGTAAGGTTAATCGCGCTAAATCTTTTAGTTTTAGCTAAGGTACGCTTAAAGCTCTCTTTAAACTTATAGGTTCCTAGTATATTAATAGCCTCGCGGTCCTTTATAATAGTAGCCTTAAATATCTTTAAATAGGTAAGGAGGTACTTTATACTAGTAATAGTAGTAATAATCTTAAGTATCTTAGCGTTAGTAAAGGCGACCTATTTAAATAGGAGCTTATTAACGACGTTAGCTAAGATAGTAGCGATCTATATAGTTCTAAGGGCGCTAGCTATTATTTTAGTCTTATTAAGAAAGATAGCCTTATCTAGGTTATATAATAATAAAGTAAGAAGCTTATCCTTATTAAATAATAAGGTAAACTACTTATAGGCGTTATAAGGGTTATTAAGGGTTTTCCTTATAATATTTAAAACTAAGGGTAGTAAGACGCTAAATAAATTACTAAGGCTTAATAGTAATAAAGTATAGTTATTAAAGTAAATATATTAAGAAGTATTAAGATTTAGGTAATAAGAAGCGCTAACTTATTATAGTTAAATAGTTAATATTATATTCTTATTAGTTTAGGTAGTTATAAGAGTTATAGTAGTACTATAATAAGCGGCGGCGCTATAAAGTAGAAGTATAGCTAGTTACGTTTATATAGGTCGCGGGCTTTAAATAAAAAAAGAAATAAAGGGGTATAGTATATACTATCTTTTACTAAGCTCGCGTTAAGATTATATCCTTCCTTAGTAAAAAGGTCGCGGTAGTTAGTATATATACTATAATTATTTTATTTCTACTTAGTAAATATAGCTATATTAGATTTAAGATTATAAAGGAGCTTTACTTTATTTCTATATAATTAAAATACTTAGCAGAATCTATTAAAGCTTAGGCGCGGTAGTTAGCGGTAGATTTAATTAAAGAAATATTAGTAAAATACTAAATCCTTACTATAGTATTTATAGCCTTAGATAGTAAGAACTTTAAATATAAGTATAAGAAGGGCGCGTTTTAGTATAAGAAAAGGAGCGTAAAAAGATAAGGAAATCGGTTTCTTAAAATAGAATAAAATATAAAACTAAATTACCGCTCGCTATAAGTAGCCTATTAAT